GGGGGGGGGGGAGGGGGCTAGGAGGGGAGAGCTGCCTTAGCTGAGCCTGCAGCACTTACGGCAGTTGGAGGAAATGATTTTGTTGTCTCAGTGCCCCAAAACCCTCCTCTCAGTGCTTCCAGGGGAAGCCAGGAACCATCTTAGGACACAGAGCAGGCAATCGTTGCTTATCATCGTGGTGAGAGGCTCCATGAGTCTTAACTAAGCCCCTTCTGAACGTGCCATCCCAGCTGGAGCCCAGCTTGTTTAGCTGCAGCCTCTCCCCGCAGACGGATCTGGGTGCAGGGTGCGAGTGGAAGGGGTGAACCTCGGTGGTGGGGGGCTGCCATCCCAGAGGGAGTGGGAAGCACGTGGTGCTGGGGGGGGCTGGACCCCTGACCACTGGGATCTGGAGCCAGACACTGTTTTGTAGCTGCGTGGTCTGCCCTGCACCTCCGGGGCACCTGAAGACACCAGGGGCTTGAGAGCTGCTCAGAGGGACAGGTAGTGTCACGCTGCTGCCCCAGCCATGGTGGGAAGGAAGAGCTGGGTGTCACAGGGCTGCTTCATGCTCCCGCACTCCCTTCTGCATCTGGGATTGGCAGAGATCAGGGTGAGCCCCCAAAGCCCAGGGGATCCCACCCATGGGGAAAGGGTCCCCTTGATTTTTTATTTTCTGCCTTGTGGAGCAGAAGTACCTCCCGAGGCACCTAAGAGAAGGCAAAAGGCATAGTGGTCCCACAGCGGATAAATAGGACTTGAGCCCCAGAACCTCAGCAAGCACCCAGACCAGCTGCCCTTCCCAGAACGCTGAGGCTGAAGAGGCCACTCCACTGCGGGGGGAGCTGAGCTGGAACGTGAGCTGGTGTGTGTATGGAACGGGGCTCAGACACGTCGTGCCTCCCCACACCCTTCTCATTCCGTGTTGCTGAGAGCAGATGGGGCTTCAGCAGGGTCCAGGACCAGTTTGCAGGCTCTGCATCACCTTGGTCGGCAGAACCATGAACTGGGGGTTTGCCCTCTAAATGCACCCACGGCAATGTGCCAAGCAAGGCAGCACACAGCTGTCCTCTCTCCCCAAATCTATCTCTTGATGGCATTTTAATGCCCTTTAATGTCTCCGGACCAAAACCCATTTTCTCCACACAAACAAAGTGCACCTTGTGGCTGCTGCCTGTCTGTGCCTCTCTGAGAGAGCGCTTTGAAGTCATTAATAAACTTAGTGAGTCCTAACCTCCCCCTGAGCTGGGGGGGAATGTGTTTCCCCAGGGGTAAAATGCTGATGAGTGTAGATGGAGCAGCCTCACCCCGGGCTGGGATACTGCTGTCATTGCCCTGCCCTGCTGCAGGGGCGGTGGCACGCTGCTGCTGCTTGCTCCAGTACGCTCCTGCCTGGGCACTGGGCGAGGACACACAGCCCATAGCCAAGTGCTTTGTCCTGTGGCTCCTTATAAGGTCCTTGTAAAGGAGCAGTGATGACATGGTGTCATCTTTTGGAGCTGGAGGATGGCAATGAAATGCAACTGCATCAGAAGAGCATCCTTGCAGATATACTCAGACAGCAACAATAACAGTAATGATTTTCAAAACTAAACCAGCCTCGAGCAGGTATCTGCACAGGCAGGGCTTGAGCAAAATGCCAACAAGGGCTTTGTGGGACCCAGCTTGAGGAGAAGAGGGTGGCCATGCTGGGGTGGCTGTCAGTCGGTTGTTGGTGGGTTTTAAGGGTGGCTCAGCCCTCAGACAGGACAGCAGCATCGCACCCTTTGCCCTGCCCTAACAGCAAAGTTCAGTGCCACCAGCCATGCTCAGTGCCTGTTCAGTGCCAGGGAAGGCAGGTCCCAGCCCGACTTTGGGACTGTGTTTGTCTCTGCCCCTGCCGGTGAGGAGGGAGACACAGTTTGGGACTTGGTGTAGGTGGGGGGCTGCAGGGCGTGGGCACCGAGCCCTTCACTGCTGCTTTCAGACATGATGTGTGATGCCCTGGGAGTTGCCAGCAGCTGGGACAGGCCACAGCACAGATCAGTGCCAGAGCCACCTTTTCACTGGCCCCTCCAGCCCATCTGAGCCCCCAGGATGAAGGAAGACCACGCTGCCAATGAGTCCAAACTTTATTCTTTTTCCTTTCCCTTTTACAGGCCTTTGCACTGAAGCCAAGTGAAGAACCTCAGAATTGCACTACACGTCATTCAACTCAGCTACAATTTTGCTAGCAGCAAAGCATCTCCACACCACTGGGATCCCGATTGCTGTTTTCACCCCTCTGTGCCCATTGATTCTGCCTCCACACTTGGAAGCCAGTGCTCAGCAGTAGCTCTAACTCACCGTCCGTCCTGCTGGACCACTCTCCACCATGTTTCAGCGTCTTACCAGCCTCTTCTTCAGTGACAGCAACACACCGGAAGGCTTGGAGGAGCCCAAACCCTTTGTCGAGGAGGAGGAGGAGGAGGATGGCTGGCTCATAATTGATCTTGCAGGTGAGAAAGGCAGGGGGGACTGGTTTTCCACAACCTCTGCTGCACCTTGTCTCTCAGGGCAGGGCAGATGCCTTGAGATGACAGCAGATGAGCTTCTACCACGTGTGGTCAGTTCTGCTCTTCATCCCTCTTCCCCTGGTCCCCCTGCCCTGCCCATAGCACCCAGCCCTGTGGTCACCACAGCAGCCCCCAGCCTGCTCCTCCTTTTCCCCTCTCCTCTCCTGGTGGTGGTTCCCAGCTTTCTGCCAGTGTGGGAACAGCAGCTGCAGTGTCTCCAGCCGAGGCTACTGCTGCCTGGGAACCTCCAGGTGCCTCTGTGCCAGGATGGGACCCTGACGCGGCACCAGGCTGGGGAGGTCACCCAGGGTTTGGGTGTGATCTTGCACCCCAGGGACTTGGTGGGGTGGGGGACATCAACCCGTGCAGGCTGTTTGCCTGTGAGCTGTGGCGATGCCGTGGCCTTGGCTAAGCTGTGCTGCGGGCAGCACTTTGCCAGGAGTAGCCGGGCTTGGCCGCTGCCCGTGGTGCCCCTGCTGAAAGAAAATTGGGGACCTGTTCCCCTGGGGGAAACCCCAGTCCTTGGACACTAGTGGGGGGCTGGGGCTTTCCCCACGCGAAGGCAAGCGGCAGTGGTGCCTGCTTGTCCCATCTGGGGACCTGCTGCCAGCAATTTGGCCACTTTTGGGTCATCTGAGTCCATCAAATCTCCAAAGGGTTTATCTTCCCAAATCATGCCCAGTCCCCATGCCAACAGCACTCAGACAGATGTTTGGTCCAAGGTCCACATACCCAGAAAGACCTCAGGGGGTCCCTGTTCCCAGGGATGGTGACAACACCCCAGAGCCCCCTTTGACACCAACCAGGCGGATCAAATTCCTTGTGTGCTGAGAGCTTCCACAGCTCCGTTAAGACCTTGGTGTTTCTATTGTAGGCTCGATGACTCAACCAATTGCAATGATAATTTTATGACCTTTTGCTTGCAAATTGAGCAGAGGACTTAGACAAACAAGCCTGTCTGTACTGGAAATCCTCAATGGCCATGGTCCGCTTGTGGAGCCTTTCTTTAGTTGTGTCCCAGCCCAGGGGACCACAAATGTATGCTGCAGGTTTAGGAGGAAGGTTTTGTCCTCCCTCTTACAAACATCAGATGGTTCCTGCCTGTCCCCCATGCACTGAGCAGAGCTTGTTTTCATGATGTGAGTCACTTGTTCAGGTTTTTTCCCTGAGTGGTGAGCTGGAGAGGGGACTGGAGGGTGGATAAGCCTGGGATGGGGATCAGGAACAGGGACGGCCCCGTGCCTGGTGGCAGCACTATGGGTGGTGTGGGCATGGGTGGCCATGGAGGGTTCACTGTCCTCTGGGCTCTCTGGTGACTGTCCCAGGGGGGTCACAGCAGTGACACAGGATGGGGCTGATTGCAAGGAGGTCCCTGGGGCAACAGGCACGCAGCTACCACATATCTGGGCCAGCTGGCAATGGCTGTAGAATGCCCAAAACATGTCAGAAGGAGCCAGGAGTTTCCCCAGATCTGAACTATGCCCTGATCCCCTGGGTCCGAGACTGCAGATGGCTCATCAAGGATCCAAGGATGACTTTGGTACAAAAGGCTCCCATATTTTTTCCAATCAAGCAGCCAGGCTCTTGGTGCAGAGCCAGCTTTCAGCAGTGTGTTTGCCTGGGACCTGTCACCCCACTGCTAATCCCCACCAGCCCTATCGCTGCCTTTTCCTGTAGCATTCCTCAGCCAGTGAGGGACTGATTTATTTCAACCCTATTTTTGAGGCTGGAGTTATGCAAAGCACTTTAAAAACTAAACCTGCGGCTCCAGCCCCCATCCTTCACCTTTGAGCCGCAGTGGCCAGCAAGCATCTCACACAGCCTGGCTCCCTCCCAGTAGTGGGGCAGCCTAATGAGCCTCTGAATTCATTCCCTCTCAGCCAGATCTTTGACCCATGTGTTGCAAAAAGCACCTGAGTTAACCAGATCTCCCAGGAGCGCTTCAGATGCCTCTCTCGCACCAAGGCCCAGCGTGGCTCTGCTCAGCACCCGGGAAGAGAGCAAAGGGCATTTCCCAGTGCTTAGCGATAACAGCTGCAAGTCACTCAGGGATTTGGGGATCCTGAAATATTCCTTGTGACATTAAAACCCACCTTGGCAAAGGATGGGGACAGATAGCCATGGATGGGTCTAGTGTCCCCTGCTCTCCACGCCCATGGTCCCACCTTTGCAGGAGTGCTGCAGAGTGGGAACGCTCCAGCCGGGCTCAGTGGCTGTCTCCAGGCTGACAGTCTGCAGCCCGGCACATCAACAACTATTAATAGCTTGATATCCACTGACCTGAAGAAAGGCGCTGTCATGTTCAGCCTAATTGTGGCCTGCCCTAAGCCCCAGGCTGAGGCATCCTCTGGGGGAGGATCAGGGGACATGCAGATGGTGAATGCTGGCCCCATTCACTTCATGTGCTCTGTTTCTCTGCCACAAGAACACATTCACCTCTGATTTCTCCTGCACCCTCACCCAGCTGCAGGGCCACATGTGTCCATATAGATACTGCACTTGGATACCCCCTGAGACCAGTTCCCTCAATTCCCCCGATGAGGCTGGGAACAGGTCTGGGTATCCAGATGAGTCCAACATTAGGCACAGGCTCCCTTCCCATAACACAAGTAATTCTGAGCACAGGGAGCCCAGAAAAGCACCAGCTCAAGTGCTTTTGCCAGGTGAGGAAGGGAAGGAGAGGAAGGCTGGGGTGACAGAGGGGTGTAGGGGCCAGCCCCTGGATCAACCACCCAAAACCTGGCCTCTAATGGACTGAAGCTGAAGGCACGGTGAAAACGTTTGCTGAAGAATTTATTCCTCTGATTTCTTCCAGAAAAAAAGGTGTGAACTGTTTTTTTCCTTTGTGTGTGCTTGGTTTCAATGTTTGCAAAGTGCCGCGTGGCCGGCGTTCCTCGGGAGTGGCGTGGCATGGCTCAGGTGCCTCAGAACAGGCAAAAGCAGCATTTCTTGCCCACTGAATTTCTTCCTTCACCTTGAGAAGGGAAAAAAAAAAAAGTGCTGTGGTAAACTCTGCTGGTTTCCCCCAGTTTTTGATTAAACTGCCTAACCAGAACCATTTCCCTCGCTCGCTGGCTTAGCAAAGCCAGACCCCACAGCACCGGCAGCCGCCCCGGAGCGGGGGGTGCTGGTGGGGGTGCGGGGCAGCGCTGGCCTCGCCCTCCCCCGAGGTTCTGTCGACGCTGTGCCCGGCTGTAGTGGTGACGGTGTGGGGTGTCTCTTGCACTAACGATGCCCCTTTCTCTCCCCCCTCCCTCCCCACTGTACATGGTATGTGTGTGTGTCCCCGCTGCGCCCCGCATGGCTCTGCACCCCCGCCACCCCCAGGCAGCCGTGCCCGCCCC